TGGAAACATTGATATGGAGTGGAACATTGATATGGAGTGGAAACATTGATATGAAGTGGAAACATTTATATGGAGTAAAACATTGATATGGAGTGGAACATTGATATGTAGTGGAAACATTGATATGGAGTGGAAACATTGATATGGAGTGGAACATTGATATGGAGTGGAACATTGATATGAAGTGGAAACATTGATATGGAGTGGAACATTGATATGGAGTGAAACATTGATATGGAGTGGGAACATTGATATGAAGTGGAACATTGATATGGAGTGGAAACATTGATATGGAGTGGAACATTAAGATTTCGTGGAACATTGATATGGAGTGGAACATTGATATGGAGTGGAAACATTGATATGGAGTGGAAACATTGATATGTAGTGGAAACATTGATATGGAGTAGAAACATTGATATGTAGTGGAAAGATTGATATGTAGTGGAACATTGATATGAATTGGAAACATTGATATGAAGTTGAAACATTGATATGAAGTGGAAACATTGATATGGAGTGGAACATCTATATGGAGTGGAACATTGATATGTAGTAAAAAACATTGATATGGAGTGGAAACATTGATATGGAGTGGAAACATTGATATGGAGTGGGAACAATGGAGTGGAACATTAATATGGAGTGGAAACATTGATATGGAGTGGAACATTGATATGGAGTGGAAACATTGATATGGAGTGGAAACATTGATATGGAGTGGAACATTGATATGTAGTGGAAACATTGATATGGAGTGGGAACATTGATATGGAGTGGAAACATTGATATGGAGTGGGAACAATGAAGTGGAACATTAATATGGAGTGGAACATTGATATGTAGTGGAACATTGATATGGAGTGGAATTATTGATATGGAGTGGAACATTGATATGGAGTGGAAACATTGATATATAGTGGAACATTGATATGAAGTGGAAACATTGATATGGAGTGGAACATTGATATGGAGTAAAACATTGATATGGAGTGGAACATTGATATGGAGTGGAACATTGATATGGAGTGGAACATTAAGATTTCGTGGAACATTGATATGGAGTGGAAACATTGATATGGAGTGGGAACATTGATATGGAGTGGAAACATTGATCTGGAGTGGAACATTGATATGGAGTGGAAACATTGATATGAAGTGGAAACATTGATATGGAGTGGAACATTGATATGGAGTGAAACATTGATATGGAGTGGAAACATTGATATGGAGTGGAAACATTGATATGAAGTGGAAACATTGATATGGAGTAAAACATTGATATGGAGTGAAACATTGATATGTAGTGGAACATTAAGATTTCGTGGAAAATTGATATGGAGTGGAACATTGATATGGAGTGGAACATTGATATGTAGTAAAAAACATTGATATGGAGTGGAAACATTGATATGGAGTGGAAACATTGATATGGAGTGGGAACAATGGAGTGGAACATTAATATGGAGTGGAAACATTGATATGGAGTGGAACATTGATATGGAGTGGAAACATTGATATGGAGTGGAAACATTGATATGTAGTTGAAACATTGATATGTTGTGGAACATTGATATGTAGTGGAAACATTGATATGGAGTGGGAACATTGATATGGAGTGGAAACATTGATATGGAGTGGGAACAATGGAGTGGAACATTAATATGGAGTGGAAACATTGATATGGAGTGGAACATTGATATGGAGTGGAAACATTAATATGGAGTGGAAACATTGATATGGAGTGGAACATTGATATGGAGTGGAACATTGATATGGAGTGGAACATTGATATGTAGTGGAACATTGATATGGAGTGGAATTATTGATATGGAGTGGAACATTGATATGGAGTGGAAACATTGATATATAGTGGAACATTGATATGGAGTGGAAACATTGATATGGAGTGGAACATTAAGATTTCGTGGAACATTGATATGGAGTGGAAACATTGATATGGAGTGGGAACATTGATATGGAGTGGAAACATTGATTTGGAGTGGAACATTGATATGGAGTGGAAACATTGATATGAAGTGGAAACATTGATATGGAGTGGAAACATTGATATGGAGTGAAACATTGATATGTAGTGGAAACATTGATATGGAGTGGAACATCTATATGGAGTGGAACATTGATATGGAGTGGAAACATTGATATGGAGTGGAACATTGATATGTAGTGGAACATTGATATGGAGTGGAACATTGATATGTAGTGGAACATTGATATGGAGTGGAACATTGATAAGGAGTTTAAATATTGATTAGTTATGAGAGTATTGAAATAGAGTTAAGGTAGGTAGAAGGAATGTAAGTATTGATATAGAGCGTAAGCTTGAATATAGAGTGTAAATATTGACTAAGTAGAGTGTGAATATTGTTTGAAATCATAAATATAGAAACAATATTCTGTAGAGTTTTAATTACGTTTGCAAGTGTAAATTGCTGAGATGACCAGAACTTACCACACTCATCCATCTTTCATATTACAAAATGTTTTTAAAATTCACACTATAAGTTAAATTGCATAATACAGTTATGTTTTTGATGCAAAAAAATTCAAAACGAAATGTTAGATAATGTAAGAACCAAACCCCGTGGTGAAATTAAAATGGTTGATTTGGTATATAAAGTAGCCTCCTACAAATGTAAGATAATTTAAGAACCAAATCCTGAGGTAAAATTAACATGGTTGACTTCGTATATGACCTAGCCTGCCCAGTAAAATAATGTAACAACATTAATGGAAATTGTAAATAACTTTTGCGCAAGAAAAGACCCCTGTTGGACGCCAGAATACAAACGAGATGTTGTCCCATCTACACATTAAGATTTTGAATTTCTTTCGATAACATTGGAATTTCCACTGTCCCCTCATAGACTTCAAAATTCAGGCCCTTAACTTCACCGACGAACCCTAGAACATTAGAAAGAAACAACTGTTAGATACGGTATAACCAAATAGTGAATCAAACTGTAACATATACTTTCATTACTTCGTACTTCAAGCACTCATCAGTGACATCAAGAACTAAAATTCTGAAAGGCAACAGAGGAAATGAAAAAATGGCCAAAAGCCGATTTCAAAATATGAATCGTGCGTATTCTCCGTGATAACTAAACGTTTCTCAATATTCATTACATTTTTTCATAATACACAGTGCTTATGTATATTTTGAACCGTGTAACCATTCAAATGAATATATGAATTTGAATATGTTTTGAATATTGAATATTGCCTGAATATGTCAAAGAAACATATTTTTCGACATATACAATCAGATAATCACATGAGATTTCTTACGCACCTGGTCTTATTCTTTGTAAGTCTTTTTTGTCCATATTTTGCCCTAGTGATATTGAATTTGAGTTTGGATTATGATTATGTTGACATGTTGGTACTTTTTGCTGTTGTTTTTCACAGTAGATTTACTAGGCCTAAAGTTTTTCTCCACAAAGTTGATGCTATGTTCGCATTGATGAGTGATTCTTAAAAAGTGTCGACTGCGATACTGTCCCATAAATGTCAGCATCATATTTCACATACTGTAGCGGCTGCCTTTTCCAATAGTTCCGATTTTGCGTTGTTTTACTGAAAGCTTGCGACTACAAAATATTTTTCAAGATATGAAACGTTCAATGGATTTCCCTAATCAGTGTCATTTTCAAGGTTTCACTTATTACCCAGCTTTTTATTTCATCGTCAAATATAGCGAAAACTTAAACTCGATAAACTGCAATATTTGGGAAAATGTCATCATTGACAGCGGTTGTTCTCATTTGAGAACGTTACTTAGATTAATTAAGATTAACATATCGGGTCAGATGTCGGTGAATCACAACACGCTAACCATTTAGAAATGATTGTGATTTTATTATCCTTGGTCTGTTTCAAGGGTCTCCTTGTAAATATTTCCTTTGTTCTGAGTTAGAATTTTCTTCTGCCTTCAGACGTGATGCCAAATACATTAGCAAAATTATGCTATCATGAAAAATTTGAAAATAATTTTGGACTGTCAAGGAAATTTCGTTTTTTCAATGTTTAGAGTAAAAGCATCATTTTCCGACACAGGTGTTTTTCAGTGGATATAATATGTAAATGTAGTAAGGTATTTTGTCAAATTGTGGAATAATTTTCTTAATTTTTAGCCTTAATCATGTATGTAAAATTTGAAGATACCCACTTCCAGTATGAAAATATTGAGGAATGATTACTCTTTCTTTTTGTAAGAAAATTTTAATTATACTAACAGACGGAAAAATCATGAATATCTTCAGGTAATGTACTCCATAATTGTCTTGAAGAATTTAAAAACGAATATTTGTGAAATTGAATTCTACAATTTATTGAAAGTAAATTATTTGAATTTATTGTATTATGCGAATGACATTCTGATATTTTTCTCTGGTATTAAGTTTGACAGATTAGAATTTTCTATTATGCATTTTGTGAAGTTGTAAAAGTGAATTGAAATTAAATCATTTTAATTTCTTGTCCCATGCGTATAATTCTCTGATGATTTATTCTGGGATTAAGTTGGACAGACCAGATGGACTATACTTATGACATATTTGTGAAATTGTGAAATTTCCCCATCCCCATCTTTATACAATAATCTTACACTTGGCAATCTTGTAACACCTGTGAATATTCTTTCAGCTTCTTTTGTTGAACAATCGAGTAAAATTATTGTATTATACAAGAAAACCCATGCATTTTAAACTAATCAGAAAAAGACCAGAAACCATACTTGCTGAAAGCCAGCATTTTTGTACAGAGGTGGTTGATTTCATTGATGAAAAATATCCTTACGTACAATGTAATTTCCTCGATTTTTTCGTTTTGTATAATGAAGTGATAACAGACATTTCAGTTTTGACCAATGATTATGGAAATGGATATTTGTTTTATTAAATGTTGTTATTATCCGTTTTAATTTTGGTGAAGATTTTTTATGACGGGCCAAATGAAAACATTCGAGACAAGCTTCATCATGAATGGTGGTTCTAATCATCTTATTTCTACAATAATTCTTCATATAAAACTAATCAAATTATTAGTAGTCGGGATGGAGCTTCAGGAGGAATGACATACAATTTTGTATTTGAAACATGTTCACAACCTTAGTATCAAATTATTTATTTACGAAAAAATACATGTTACAGTTTTAAAAGGAAAATACTTTTATTATATTATATTATTTTGAATGACCGAAGATGTTGATAAAATTTGCTTGAAAAATTGTCCAATTGATGTAGTCCTATATACTTCAATGGCTGTAGTATTCAAAGTGTTCTATATTCCGCCATTTTTAAAGATAAAACAAAATCGCGAAGGAAACTATGAAGAAGAAATATATAACGACTATTTCAATATGTTCAAGGATTCTTGTGCTGTACACTTGAGTGAACATGCGATATCATCGAAAAAAACTAGTTTTAAAGATTTATTTCAAATTTAAACATTTAAAATATTTTCCTGTCAATCCTATTAAGGTTGAGAACCTTTCACTAAGATGTGTCGATATCAAACCAAGGATCATTTTCATAATCATGAAACAAGAAATATTTGAAGAAACTTGCTCTTTACATGCCACTCTTGTCCGAACTTTTTTTCTCTGCATATGAGGTCCTAAACAAACTGGTCCGCTTAAAAGTATGGTAAAATAAACAAAATTATGTGTAAATTGATATAAAAATCGATTGCTTTGTATTCAATAATTTTGCAGCAGATTGAGATCTTTAAATATACCAAAGAAAAGTCTAATTTTGCATGAAATTGCATTCCATCTACCGTGTGTCAATTTAGGTCATTTAACGATGTATTTTTATATCTCGATAAACTATCTTAACAGTATTTGATTGCTGACGTCGTCTCGTATCTTCCAAAATGGCGCGCAGAGAGAAAATAGTATGGAAACGCATATCGATCATATGCGATAGCCCGCTCAAAACTCTCAAGCATTACTTCAAATTACTGGATACCATAAAAAAACCATCAATATCAAATTGTAATATTTTTTGTGATAATCGTCCTTAAATACATTGATATGGCCTACATCGAATTGATATCAGTTCCTGGCGCCATTATATATGTTTTGATATGTCCTCGTTTCACATGTCGTTTGTTTTTATCAAACATTTGTTACTTTGTATGTCAGTGGATGAAATAACAGTAAAAAACAATGACATCAATAACATATTTTCTAAGAGCTATTTTCTGGTAAATCTAGTTTTATTGATATTGATCCGGCAATTTCATGATTGAAAGCAAAAACATGTGTAATCATTTAAGAAACGTTTCTCATATTTACATTTTAAAAACACTTTTTTTCTTAACTTATCCTCATTAAAAAATCGTCTTTTATCGAACATTATACACACTAACAGAACCGAACCGAATTGTAAACATTTTGTTCGTAAGGCCAAATAGAAGATTTTCTCAGGAATTGTAGATATATTAAAACCCTTTTTTCTTTTGTTTTGATCATGTCACTTATGTCCCGTACTGATTTCCATACACACTCGGAAATCCCTGATAGAGCATGTAGTTTATATCGTATTCATTTTGTGTCAATCGAAATAACTTCTATCGAAGGTAAGTGAGGCAGTAATGTAGATGTGTACGAACCCAATAACAAGGACAGTAAGATTCATGAAAGCTTAATAGCTTATGTTAATCATAACGGTTATGTACGATATTGTTTAGAATGTAAACATTCATTTTAGACGAGGTGTGATTTGTTCTTTTGTCCTACTTTGTCCGAACATGACGATATACATTCATTTTCCCTTAGTTAGAAATCATGCTATAAATTGTCTGAGCAATATAACGCTGCAAAGTATGTTGTTATCGATTTTACAGAGAAAAATGAAGAAGTCAGAGGTTCAGTCAAGTGGTAGGGGACGGCGTCCAGTAGAGCGACAAAAGATGAGGCCATGGCTCATACAATTACTAGACAACAACACAGCAGACGGCCTAAGCTGGGTGGACCGGAAACAGGGATCCTTTAGAATAAACTGGAAACATGGAGCACGGAATGGCTGGAACATCAACAAAGATGCCAACGTCTTCGAACTTTATGCCATCCATACAGGTACCATTGTTTTAAAAATATCTTTTCTTTTCATTTTTTGTTTTGAGTTAATTTTCCAGTTAAACTGTGTCATATGTTTGGTGGTTGTTATGTATAAATGCATTTACAAAATATAATTTACAGTATGTGAATACATAAAAAAATGGTAAACAATGAATTAGTGATAAAAAAGTGAAATTTTGTATTGAATTACAAGAGTTTTAGTTGAACTTTCTATTTTTACTCCTAGAATTAAGAGGATTTTTATATGACCTCATTGTTCCTGTGTTAATTCACACATATGACATTTGACAAAAACAAAACAAAAAAGAAATTTAAAAAAAATGAAATAAAAATAAATGAAAATTCAATGTATTTTGTACAGGTGTTATTATACGGTAAAGATTTTTCCAAATCGTCGGAATACAAATGTTTTTTCTGTATAGTGACGCAAAAAAACTGTATATTTTAGCTTCATTAATTCGACAGAATTACTTCGTGACTTTACGTAAAAATTACTGCTCAAATAAACGATTTTCTTTATGTTATAACAAACAAGTTTATTTACGAAAATTCATAAACTCACTGTTATATTCGTTGAGATTTTGAACTATATTTCCGCGCGGAACAATTATTTTCACGTAAGTCGTCAAGCAAACGTCAACGTCAAGTTAACAAAGATTGAACAAAAAGGGCAATGTCAGAGGTTAGCCACTGACCATGTATTATCTTTATATAATTACAGTGAATTCCTTTGGAAAGATGAGTTTATTTTCTGCTCGACGATGAAAGAATCGATGTGTAGTTCTCCGTAGTGTAATCAATTCACCACTGTACAACGAAATAGCCATCAATCAGTCTTTTTAGTTGTTACTTAACTAAAATCTTCAGTTTTCCCAATAAAATAAGTGCTTTTCTTGTCTTAAAACGACAACCTGAGCGGAGGTTTCAGTGCAAGCATTAACTAATGTTAAGTGTCATGTGTTGAGGACTGCAGGTTAAATATTAAAATAATAAAAGTGTTTTATAAATATTGATGTTTCAACTTTAATTCTTAGAAACCTTCCACGAATTTGTTTTGATCAGATTTTAGATATTTACGCAATGAATGAAGAATTTGCAGGTAACCCAAATTTAAAAAAAATATATATACAGTGTATTTTCAAAAATCGCTTTTATCTGCAAAGTGGTACTATCCCCGAAATTTTTCAAAATCATTGGGAGCCGACCTAGTTTCTGTTTCTCGGAAATCTATTTTCTCTTTCGGAAAATCATAGGGGTGCATTACACCATTAGACGTTGAAACACACGTTGTTCGAATTCAATGGAATCTAATATTGTTATTGCTGTCCCGACTTTCAGGTGAGTGTAAATTATAAGGCTAAGTATTACCAAATACCTTTTCTCTATAAAATATACAAAACCTGTTTATTCAAAAATTATTAAAATGAATACATTCCCTTCATGTTTTACTGTTCGTTTAAAATTTATTTTCATTCAATATGCAACGGAATTTTACAGATATGTTTAACATAAGGAATGGGAAATCAAGCTTCTTTTAAGTCCAAGCGTAATCGCTAAAACACATCAATGATTAAAAAAGTATCATTTTATTTGGAAATGCCTAAACAATAATTTGGAGATTAGATAACATTCCCCAAATCGAACAATATTCTACTTCCGGAGTCATGTTCACATTTTGTATATTTTATCCTAAGAAGTGTTCGCGTGTTGCTTTATACCTGTACAAATAAATTGATTAATTACACCTTAGAAATTATATCAAGTCCAATTATTTTTATGACGCATATACATTGCATTATTTTATAGTCTACTGATTTTTGCTGTACAGTTTAGCATTTTTTTAAAATATATAGTGGAATTTTTATTCAACGACGCAAATACGGACTTGAATATAGATCTTTAGTGACTTGCCATAACTCTTTCACGTTTTTAAAATTTTATGATATATCGTGTGTATTTCTACCTTTTTCAATTAATTTTCTTGACTTCGTTTAGGGATAGATTTGGGCAATGTTTATTCATCAAGTTTCTTCACATAATATTAATTCAATTTTCCGTTATTTAATTCAGGAGTAATACAAAATTATCTACACTGCTAATTTCCATGTGATGCTATTTTCCTGTATACTGACGTCGAAATAACAGCCCAAAAATCGCATGTTACGAATAAATTATGATTTTCTTGGAAATACAAAATGGAAAACAATGAAAATAATGAGATGAAGCAGAAATCAATCCTCCATAAGTGTACAAAATTTCATTAAAAATGATCAATGAATGAAGTCAGGAAAATGAATTGAAAAAAGTCAGAAATACAAAGAATACATAGTAAAATAAAACATGAAAGAGTTATGACACGTAACTGTAAATCTTAGTCCTGGTACAATTGATTTCTTTACTATACTGCACAGATTTACCTTTTTTATTCACAGAACAAATGTTTCTGTTCAATACGGTACAGCTGTTTATCTTATGAACAAACTATTTTATATTATTTATATATTATACAACAATGATGATTGATATTATATACAACAGGAATGTTTCCTTTTCAATATTTATTTATTTATGATACAGTACCACTTTAAGATATGGTCCGACTGATTTTAATACAGTTGTTATAATCAGTTTAACTATTTTGTAGCTGTTTGTTGAATACTTATTTTGTCATCAATTACACTACGACTGCTTTTTTGTATTGTTATTTACAGTACAACGGGTTACATTTTTATACAGAACAACACATTTGTAATTACATTTGGTATATGTAGTACAATTGTTTCATTGTTATTTACAGTACAACGGGTTACATTTTTATACAGAACAACACATTTGTAATTACATTTGGTATATGTAGTACAATTGTTTCATTGTTATTTACAGTACAACGGGTTACATTTTTATACAGAACAACACATTTGTAATTACATTTGGTATATGTAGTACAATTGTTTCATTGTTATTTACAGTACAACGGGTTACATTTTTATACAGAACAACACATTTGTAATTACATTTGGTATATGTAGTACAATTGTTTCATTGTTATTTACAGTACAACGGGTTACATTTTTATACAGAACAACACATTTGTAATTACATTTGGTATATGTAGTACAATTGTTTCATTGTTATTTACAGTACAACGGGTTACATTTTTATACAGAACAACACATTTGTAATTACATTTGGTATATGTTTTACAATTGTTTCATTGTTATTTACAGTACAACGGGTTACATTTTTATACAGAACAACACATTTGTAATTACATTTGGTATATGTAGTACAATTGTTTCATTGTTATTTACAGTACAACGGGTTACATTTTTATACAGAACAACACATTTGTAATTACATTTGGTATATGTAGTACAATTGTTTCATTGTTATTTACAGTACAACGGGTTACATTTTTATACAGAACAACACATTTGTAATTACATTTGGTATATGTAGTACAATTGTTTCATTGTTATTTACAGTACAACGGGTTACATTTTTATACAGAACAACACATTTGTTTTTACATTTGGTATTTGTAGTACATTTGTTTCATTGTTATTTACAGTACAACGGGTTACATTTTTATACAGAACAACACATTTGTAATTACATTTGGTATATGTAGTACAATTGTTTCATTGTTATTTACAGTACAACGGGTTACATTTTTATACAGAACAACACATTTGTAATTACATTTGGTATATGTAGTACAATTGTTTTATTATTATCTACAGTACAACGGGTTACATTTTTATACAGAACAACACATTTATAATTTTATTCGGTATGTATAGTAGAACTTTTTTTTTTCATAGTTATATTATGTTTTTTATGTATCATAATCTGTTTCTGTGAGATGTTTGATGAAATATGACCACTATTTTTTTTCAACAGTGGTTAAGTATTGACACATCGTGGTAGTTTTTGTCAAAATCAGATAATGAAGTATTCGACCCGAACCAACATAGCAGTTTCTACTTTTAAATCAAACACTTTTTTTCAAAATTTATATTTGACCCAAACCAACATTACGATTTTATGCATATTTATAAAGTAGTCTACACTTTGGTGCTAGATTAACGGTAATAATTGGAAATATATTGCCTATCACAGTGTTTATAAACAGAACAGGAGAAGGTTTTTGGTTATGATTTTTCTTTTTGGCTATAGGGGTAGATTATAAAAGTATTTGTTTCTAAGATCAGTAACATGCAGGAATTAATTCACTAGCTACAACTTGTCTTCATTATTTGGCCCTGCTATACCTTTTTCTAAATTAGAATTTCAAGGTGCTATTCGCTTGTGTATGTTTGTGTTTGTACAATCTTTCATAAAATTTGTAGCTTAATAAGTATATATTTGATAACATTGTATTTCAATGTTTATTTGGTAATATCAGACAAAATTATAGAAAACGTGGCCTTTAAAAAATTCGAAAGTTGACAGGAAAGCCTGATATACTTACTTAAATAAGCAAAGTTTCGATATTATAAAAACCCCAAAAAACAAAATATAATGAAGAATGAATCTACTGACATCAATAAATCATTTGTTAATGGTGAAACATCAAAACATGGTGATAAAATTCTTTTTTTTTTCATAATCTTTTCTCTTGAAACATTAAACTGCATATAATGTTAAAATGTAATACCCAAACGATTATAAACATATACCAACATTATTGAACTTTATAAAATATGATTAGCATTAAGCCAAAATATCTTTTATCAACATGTGAATGATAAGGTATATTTTAAATGTTTTAATACTTGGAATTATTATAGACATGATATAAACACTTTGAATGTGCAAATGTTTTCGATATGAGAAGGAATTCTGCTTTGAAACTTTAAAAATTTGTCTGTAATGAATGATAATCGTTTACAATACATAGTGTAACTTCAGGAAATCGGTTGGGAAAGGTGAAGTATTTCATTTAGAGAATTCTCGACTGTATCTGTTTATAACTTTACTTTGATCTTATACACAAATTAAACAAGATTATCAGATAATGAACAAATTTCGTGGGAAAAAAGGACATCGTATTGCCGAAATAATAAAAAGGAATGGGCACAAGTTACGAATTATTATTAACGCACTGTCCTATCAATATAAACGCTTACGTGTGTATACCATATGATGGCTTGAGTATTGAGAAACAGAGAGAATTTAACAAATCACCTACAGCTAGAATAAATCAAAATTATATCATTGATGTAAGCAGTTTAACGAAACCAAGTAAAATCAGCAAATAATGTTGAAGAGTACTGTATAACACGTTAACATTTATAAATCAACTTTGATTTGATTTTGTTTTTATTTGAATGTGCCTGCAACATTTTAAATTGGCATCTCTATTAAAAGCATTGTTTCAAGGTTCTTGTCGTCCATCCTTTCTTCTTTGCTTTATTTCTTGTTTTTTTTTATTTTGTCTGAAATATCATTGTTAAAGTTCTCTCGTCAGGTTTTTGTGCTGTTTTTACTTCTATATTGGCTCTCCCTTTATACCTGCTGCTTGTCTTTTTTTTTTTTTTTGTCTACCTGGTTCCCATTGCTTCATTCCTATCGACTGTTGGCAGTTTCCTAGTTATTTGAAGCTTTTGTTCTATATATTACGGAGTGAAATCGTTACACTGTACTGAATTTTTATTAATACCGCCCACTGAAAAGAAAATTTACTCATTGACTTATGCATTTAAATACTGGATCGTAATCAATGTTTATATCAATTTTCATTTACCGGTACATTCATCAAAATCTAACAAGAATGCTAAAAGTGTTAATTCGTGATGGAATAAATTCCGTTGTAATTACAATGCAAAAGAGGTGTTCACTAAACAGATTTATCTGTACTGGTACCATATGTAAATATATTCCGAGGTTAGAAAGATAAATGATTGTTTTATCTAAAATGTGTACAACTTTGTCATTTATTTTTCCTCAACTCTGATTGAGAAACCAAGTATTTATGACGAATTCAATATTAGGCTTTCTAGATCACCAGTGACAACATACACATCAGTGTAAAATTACACTTTCCTCTTGTTGTCTATACTCTTTCATCAGTTTGTTTTAAATATATATTTTTTCAAATATTGAGCAAAGACATTAAACTCATTTTCTCAATTTTCAAAGATGTTTGATTTCCTTTTAAGAAGTATTTATTAATCTATTTATTGAAATCATTTTCGGAATTGAAATCATACGATTTAACCAAACGTATCTTGAAGAATATGATTAAACTTACCACGGTTTTACAGTCGATAAGCGACAGCATTTTGAATTGTGTGATTTAAATACTGAAAGTTTTACTCTCATTGTATATTTCTTTAAAGTTATAATTATTAAAGTTTCATTTTAAAATAGTGTTAGTTAGTTCCAGTGTTTGATTTTAACTTACTTAGATTATTAGATCATTAGAAATCCGGAGGGGGCTATATTCTTTGTCTCCATCTGTCTGTCCGTCTGTGCGGATGTAAGTTTCCAGACGATAACTTGAGAAAATATCGATGGATGTGAATGAAACTTCATTCATTGTTAGGTTATGATGTAATGCAAAGTGGGATTGCGTTTGGGGTCGAAAGGGCAGCTACGAAGGTCACTCTTGCTGAAAATAGATATTTTTTGGTCAAATTTTGGTTTCCAGATGATAACTTCAGTAAGAATTAATGGATTTGATTGAAACTTCATACAATGTTAGCTTATGTGGTAATACAGAGTGAAATTGTTGTTACTGAAAATATGCTTTTGTCGTCTAATTTTGGTTCCATGTGATAACTTTAGAAAAGAGTTATGAATTTGGTTGAAACTTCGTGAAAAGGTAGTTTATAAAATAATAGAGAGTGGGATTGAGTTTGGTATCAAAAAGTCAACTACGTAGGTCATTGTTATTAAAAATAGACATTTTGTCGTCAAAATTTTGCTTCCAGATGATAACTTTGATAACATTGACCGATTGTATGGAACATTGATGCAATCTGATACTATTATAAGATACATAGAATGGGATCGAGGTAGAGGTCAAAGGTTGTCAAGGTCACTACAATTGACATTTATCACCATCAAAGCAGCGGGAAGCAAAGTTTGTCAGAATAACACCAGTGGTAAACTGACCAGTGTTCAAGGTGACGGTGTCAAATATTACATCTTTTCATGTGTATAAATGATGAAATGATTAAATTTACCTTTAAAGATCAGACACTTAGTCGTGTCCTTCTGACATGTCATTGTTTTAATTTGTTTTTCAAATAATCATTTAACTGAATCATGAACAAATAGTATTACCCACAAGGGAATGCATATAAGGATTGTTTTCGGTGTTGTTTTCTGGTGTTTGTATCCTTCCTGTCACGACACTGGTTATTGTGGGAAAAAGACTTTCAATTATTAAAATGAGACATCTATTCTTTACTATCAAGGTCTTTGTTGCTTAGAAAATTTATTGAACTGCAGGGGGACGAGTGTTATACGCAACACTACATGTAAGCTTGCTTTTCCCCAAAAATGTTTTGAGCCATTATTCTCAAACATATAAAAATGGAATGAATACAAAAAAGTTCTGTATGTCATTTTTGATATTGATTACTCGATAGACAAGCTAGGTCAGTTGTATACATCACACCTAAACATAAAGCTCAAGAACTCAGAAACTCATTGTTATTGTTGGCGAATTTCCTATGGAGTGATTTGCCTGAAAGTCATCGGAAGTTTTAAAACAGAATGTAAAAATATAATATTATCAATTATGGTTGCACATGAAAAAGGGGTTGTTTGTGGTCTAGTATAGGAACAATAAAAAGGGTTCTTTGGTTCTGAATTTCTACATCAGATTTGCAGAAAGGATGATATAAGGTTTGCTTGCTAGTGATAAGGCAAATGTCGATTCTTGAAACTACCTTGAACAGAATCGAATGAAATTTAATGAAAGTAATGTACACACGTTACTCTTATGTGACAATTAATTCACCTTTTTGTTCATTATGTAAGTCTTTATGTAAAAACTGATTGGTTTTATTCACAGGACGACATACTAAGAACCAGTCTCCAAACCCAAAGCGATGGAAGGCGAACTTTCGTTGTGCGCTAAATAGTCTTGATGACGTCACAGAAGTTAAATCCGAAGGCAGTACAAGAGGAACCAATGCCTATCGCGTGTTTAAATTTCTGGAGGAAAAGAAGAAACAAATAAAAAGGCGACGTAAGTGTCATTGTGTTATACGTTTGAAGAAAAACACAGTTCTCAATTACCTTATTTATTCCCAATGTATTCTGTTTAAATAGATTAATAAAATCATTAAGTTTAAAATGTAAAGCCTATGAATGTAACACTTACATATAATTACCTGTGTATACGGTTTTCAAAAGTCTGCGACGAAAAATCGTAGGTAGGGGTGTGTGTGTGTGTGTGTGTGTGTGTGTGTGTGTGTGTGTGTGTGTGTGTGTGTGTGTGTGTGTGTGTGTGTGTGTGTGTGTGTGTGTGAGGGTGTCAATAATACACGTGACCTTTTACACGTTTTCCCACACTGTCTAGAGGGGTGTCGGCCATACTCATGGTCTTCTCTCTACACGTTTTCCCACAATGTCTTGAAAGGGTGTCAATGATACACGTGTCCCATTTTCTACATGTTTTCCCACACTGTCTAGAGGGGTGTCAGCCATACACATGGTCTTCTCTCTACACGTTTTCCCACACTGTCTAGAGGGGTGTCAGCCATACACATGGTCTTCTCTCTACACGTTTTCCCACACTGTCTAGAGGGGTGTCAGCCATACACATGGTTTTCTCTCTACACGTTTTCCCACACTGTCTAGAGGGGTGTCAGCCATACACATGGTCTTCTCTCTACACGTTTTCCCACACTGTCTAGAGGGGTGTCAGCCATATACATGGTCTTCTCTCTACACGTTTTCCCTCGATGTCCAGAAAGGGTGTCAATCATACACGTGTCCCATTTTCTACACGTTTTCCCACACTGTCTAGAGGGGTGTCAATTATACACGTGTCCCATTTTCTACACGTTTTCCCACACTGTCTAGAGGGGTGTCAATTATACACGTGTCCCATTTTCTACACGTTTTCCCACACTGTCTAGAGGGGTGTCAATTATACACGTGTCCCATTTTCTACACGTTTTCCCACACTGTCTAGAGGGGTGTCAATTATACACGTGTCCCATTTTCTACACGTTTTCCCACACTGTCTAGAGGGGTGTCAATCATACACGTGTCACATTTTCTACACGTTCTTCCACACTGTCTAGAGGTGTGTCAATCATAAATGTGTCCCATTTTCTACACGTTTTTCCACACTGTCTAGAGGGGTGTCAATCATAAATGTGTCCCATTTTCTTCACGTGAAAAAATCTTGAATGTTATATACTTATGTCACTTATGATGTTTATGGTCCGGGTTTTTATAGGACATCAGAGCACCGAGTCGGATGAAGACAGTGGGGTTGAAAGTCCATCGACTTCTAAGAAGACAAGACCCTATAGGTTAAGACCCAGGCAAAGAAAGAAACGCTTTGTAAAAAAGGTAGGATATTATTGAACTCAGATTCTTATGGTACCATAGATATTTAATTGATGCAACATAATAACAGACAGAAGATAATTAATCATACCTACTTTACCATTCCGTTGTCAGCGAGTTATTTTTTAGTAAGTTACATCGTTTTAACAATTTCCAAATAGACTGTAGTAAGTGATGGATTGATCCGGTGATCATTACAATGTAGTAGTTAAAAGTTCGGTACAAGATTCCACCAGATAAACACACAATAACCTAGTTCATCGGATAACACACAATAACCTAGTTCGGTACTAGTTTCCATCGGATAAACACACAATAACCTAGTTCGATACAAGTTTCGATCGGATAAACACACAATAACAAAGCTCGGTAAAAGTTTCGATCGGATTAACACACAATAACCTAGTTCGGTACAAGTTTCGATCGGATAAACACACAATAACCAAGTTCGGTACAAGTTTCGATCGGATAAACACACAATAACCTAGTTCGGTACAAGTTTCGATCGGATAAACACACAATAACCAAGCTCGGTACAAGTTTCGATCGGATAAACACACAATAACCTAGTTCGGTACAAGTTTCCATCGAATAAACACACAATAACCTAGTTCATCGGATAACACACAATAACCTAGTTCGGTACAAGCTTCCATCGAATAAACACAATAACCTAGTTCGGTACAAGTTTCCATCGAATAAACACAATAACCTAGTTCGGTACAAGTTTCCATCGAATAAACACAATAACCTAGTTCGGTACAAGTTTCCATCGAATAAACACAATAACCTAGTTCGGTACAAGTTTCCATCGAATAAACACAATAACCTAGTTCGGTACAAGTTTCCATCGAATAAACACTCAATAAGCTAATTCCAGTGAAGTTTTGATGATATAAACTCATAGACAACGACACAAAGCTATCTCAAATATTACGTAATTAACATAATTAATATCACATTAAAATGTTATCATATTAGGAAGCCGAATCTTCTTCCGATTCATCTGATGGGCATGTGGACAGTCCAGACGTTCAACCAGATGTGAAAGAGGTCAGTTTACCTGTGCCGAGCAATGACAGTGATGAGGCCATCGATGCTCGTATTAAGACAGAATATACAGGTATGTCACACTGTGAAATGCCGTGGATTGTGCTTGAATTCAATGTTAACTATAATGTTATTTATTTTGAGTCGTTATATTAGTTCGAGGAGGTACAAGAGCATACTATAGCATTCTAAAACCGACTGTTGAATATAAACATGGTTTACCTTTTTTATCACTACAGATGAAAAATTGGGGATAACCTCAGGGACTTTTCCAAATCTCGGCTGCGGATTTGTAATGATTCGTTACGGAGAGAAGAGGGAACCACTAGAAATAAACGGTAAACATGACTTGAATTTGAGGTGGATGGGGTTACTGAGAGCAAAGCCAACTGAATTTTGTCAAGATTTTGTAACTGAAAACGTATAGTTTATGTAGACAATGATTTTCAATGGTAAAGATAACAGCTTTTCAAATTTGCACGATAACCGCAGTGATTTCAGTTATCTTGTGATTATTTTGTCTCTACAGGTTAACATTTGTGTCGTAATCAACTGATATTCGGATGTCCCCAATATCATGTTTTATGTGCAATATAATGACAGCAGACAGATAATCTCACAGCACAATATTCGAGATCATTATCTGATCAGCAAATATCAATTTCCTTGTATGACGGATGATTTATCAAGTACCCTACCGAAGGGTTATGATTATGTGTTGGTGATACTTCCTACATAAACCTGAAATATTTGGATTGTGTAGGTTTTGTAGTCATTGTTGTGAACATTTTTGTGAATTCTTCGAACGATAAAATACTTTTTTTTCTTCAATTTTTTGTTTAATTTCGAACGAGACGAGAGTTTAAGTTTTCTGCCTTTGTTAGATGCCTCTTGTGTGTGACGTTATCTTTGATATGTGTTTCAGATGAGAGACAAGTAAAAATTGATGATGAGGTAAGTGTGACTAGCTGTCAGAGTAATCTTGTCTGATTTACATTGAATACTGAAGTATTTAGAGAAGTTTATGGTGCGGGGGTTTATAACAACAACCAGCTTCGGGGATTGCCTAATGGCGAGTTTGTGTCAAAGTTTTGAATGCGAAATCAAAGCAGAATTCAAAAATCGTCCTTAGTCATTTGTGGATTAGTCCCCTGCCGATGAGTCGGGGCGGGGCAGGGCGGGGCGGGTCGGGTCGGGACGGGTCGCGGCGAGGCGAGGGCGGGGCGGGGCAGAGCGGGGCGGGGCAGAGCGTAGCGGAGCAGAGTGGATTTGGGGAGGGGGCTAAAGTTTTCCTTTGCTCTCAGCACTCTGCATGCTTCATTCCTTTGAGGCATTATCATCAAACTTAGAACACTTATTTAGCATCAAAATATCTCGGACATGTTCAAGTTTAAGGGTTGTTCGATCAAGGTCAAGATCATTGTTATTTTTAGAAGTTATTGTAAGTGCTCTGGCGGGTTTATTCCTTTAAGAGTTTTCATCAAACTTAACACATTTTTTCAATATTAACACCAAACTGCACATAACCTAATCTTTAGAAATCAAACGCTCGGGGATATGCATTGCTTTAGCAATACTCGGTATGCTTGTTATATGGATATTGTATCATTATGTCTTAGTGAATTTGCATTCTTTAATTTGATCAAATGAAATTGCTTCTGTAGAATATTTTCCAGTTTTTAAATATCATGAATACTTTTTCGATCAACAACAAATGTTTTAAGAACTCATCAGATGAAATTATATCATGCCGATATAAAGTATTGTTTTCTCTGGCAGGATGACAGCAACGATGAGTCAGATTCGGACCAAGAGGATGAAGACATTTCTCCATCTAGCAACTGTTATCACTCCCATTGTACCAGTGGTTTACAGATTGCGTCAACATCGAGACAAATATCCGTCCCAGACTACACCAACATGTTAGCCACGCGCGAATGTCACGCGTCTGATGTCAACTTCATGTCGCAAACAATTGATCAGCAGGGCAACCTTGTGATAGCTGCCCAAGTGGAAATCCCAGGGGACCCATCAGACCACAATACGTTATCGACACAGCTTCCTATCCCTGTCATAGGTACGTATATTTGTCGTGGTAGACTGCCAATCAAATACTATCTGTGTGAATTGTCCTTGTGTGTGAATAGATCGTCTGTGTAGACTGACACTTTATAGATAATTCGTCTTTCTAAAGATATCACCGGTTTTGTGTTAGGACCACCTTTGCTTAAGGACCTTTCTTTATCCCACCTCAATAAAGGCCAGCTAAATGATATAACTCTCTAAAGAGTCCATTTACGTTAAGAGACACATCTTTTAAGCGACCTGCCGAGTTAAAAAGAATCAAGACCTCTCCCCCCTCCCCGTCTGTAACTTAACTGTATCTCCTGCCGCTGTAATAGCATGCACTTAAAGTATTAATTATGTACAATCAGACATGTACAAGTAATATTGATAATATTCATATTTGTTTGCATATTTCAAACAAGTTGAGGTAGAACTCTATACACCAGTTGGCAGGTTGATCTACAACAATAATAATGATTAACTTATGTCATTATGATACAAGCGTCTATGTGACGAGGATATTTGTCAAAAGTAGTCAAGAGACTCGGGATTGGGGGCAGATTAAAACATTTGTCATTATGATAAAGCGTCTATGTGACGAGGAAATTTGTAAAAAGTAGTCAAGAGACTCAGGATTGGGGGCAGATTAAAATGTTGAGAAAATGTCAATAGCTTTTCCGAAGTGAAAACGAGAAAATATCAACTGCTTTTCTAAAGCGAAAACATGGAAATCTTTTTCTGAAGTGTGTGCGATACAAGTGAAAGCATTTACACTCATTCTTAATCGTGTCTGTTTTCAGTTATCTAATTTTTTATGGAATGTTAATTTTTCAGATTTGATTCAGGAGCAATTCAGAAACGTATCCCAATCATGAGCAACTGTGGAGCTGTCCAAGTGTATTGTTTGATGTGGAGAAATTATGTCTGACCAAAGAAAAGGAGCCGATTCTACTTTGTATTTGTAAAACAAAAAAAAAAAAAAAAACCATTTGAATTCATTCAACATTGATTGGAAATATTGAAAATTATTGTGTAATGGAGTTTTTGCATATCTGCATGTCTTTTTCTTAACATTTATAATTTCGACCAACTTTGATCAATTCATTGCCTTAGTATTACAGACAAATCCTGGAAGTACAGAATCAACTGTTTGATGCAATTTAATAGATTAATGTATCTAATTATAAATACGTATCTTTTGTATGTGTATATCGGAGAACAGTGACCTAATAACTCCAGTCTAACAATATATTTGTGACCTGAATTGAGATATCTTACCATAGGAGGTTGTGAATGTATTGCAGCAGTATTCAGTGTTGTGCATCGACCTGGGGAATCGGTTAACAAAACAGGAACATCTTATTTCATATGACGAGCCTGGTCAACCTGGGTATTGTTTAAAAAATTCAAGATAAATGGAAAAATGACCGTGAAGTCCAAGTTCTTAATCAAACTTCTATTTTTCATTGAATGGCGTGTGTGCATTACACCTGCATATAATTCATATCCTTCTACCAGCGTAAGATTTTGATTCCTTTTTAGTTGGCATTTCATTTCATTAACATTTTGGTACTTGGGATCAAAGTTACTGACGCCGTGATAACTCTTATTTCTTATTCTGCAAGTAGTGTTGTCGCCAATGATTAGAGTATTGATCAATAAACATAAAATGTTGTAAATAATGAAAATTGAGATTGCTTTGTTCATCTTGTTAATGTTTATCAACTTAAGTGATTCTTTTAAGGCCTCAATTGATGCAGGCTCGTCAAATCAAATTTTGCTTTCGTTATCCTTAACGTAATTTTGAAGCGCCTGTCTTGTATCTGTAACGAGAAAGTTTCATTTTGTTTGGCAATCTTCTTTATGGACTCCTTCAGAACGTCGAGTATTTGTGTTATCATACCGGTCCTGGTATTTGTTGTACATTCCAGGAGATAAAACCATGCTAATCTGACAGGTTTACTTGTTTTCTGCTCAATTGTTTATTTTGTTATTTTAAAAGATCGTGTTGAAACTTGAAGCGAAACTGTAACACTAACAGGCGGTGTGTAGTGCTGAAATGAGATCATATTAAAATTCATCTAAAAGTCAACCAAGTGTATCTGTTAATTGGTGTAAAATAAGTGCATTATCCACAGATCATGTACATTTTGTTAGTTTGGTCAAATAAGTGGGATACAGTGATTACACCAATTATTCCAATAAGTGTAATTGTTACTGTTCATATTTTGTAATGGCACAGTATCTGTCAAAAATTCACTGAAAGTCGTTACTGGTCAAGAATGGCTGAACAGACTTTTACCAAATTTGGTCAGAAGCATCCTTGGAGAAGAGGAACTAAGTTTTTTTGGTTTTTTTTTTTTATAAATATAAATATTTTTTCTCCGCTCCCAGAGACCTGGAGGCTGGGGCCAAAATTAGGTAATTAAGTAAAATCTTCTTCAGTAGAAATGATTGGATTTTGCTCAAATTTGGTCTGAAGCATCCTTTGGTGAAAGGGACCTAGCTTTGTATAACCGGTAGCTTTTGGTCTCCTGAGGCGGGAGACCTAATGGGGGAAAATATAACAAATTCTGTAAAATCCTACTCCACCTGTAGGAATGGTGGATCTTGAACAAATTTGGTTTCATGCATTATTAAGTGGGACCCAAATGGGGAAATAGAAAAAAAAAATCTTTAAAGTCCCTCTTCTTCTTTAGGGATGTCTGGAATCTGTCCAAATTTGGTAAGAACCTTCCATCGATGAAGGGGACTCTATTTTGTATATAAAATGGGTCTTGGCCCCCTGGGATGGGAGGAATTGGGCCCCATATGGAAAACATGGGAGGGATTGGGCCCCATATGGGAAACAAGAGAAAATTCTTGAATGCTGGATTCTGTTCCAATTCCTTCTGTGGCATGCTTGGGAGAAGGGGATCAATTTTGTGTAATGGGCCTTCTCTTGGATTAATTCAATTTTGTCCAAATTTGATCCCAAGCATCCTTCGGTGAAGTGAACTTTGTTTTGTATTAATGGTGCATCTGACCACCCCCCCCCCCCCCCGGAGCAAAGGGCTAAGGCCTTTGTTGAGGATATAGACTTTTAAGTCTTTTAAGCAATTTTCCTTTAGTTGAAATGAAGCAATTTCAGCAAACCATGTGAGCTTATACAGGCCCTATGAGCCTCTTGTTCTTGTCCGTCCACGGCTTTGGAGACATTAGAAATATCTTTATGCAACTTGAATAATATATGTGCATGAAGATTAAACTTTCACCATCAAGTTTTTGTCCTGTCAATAGCTTTTTAAGTACATGTATTGGAGGTGCCTTGATGAAACTAGAAACATACTTTATTATTTACTTATATCAACACCCAGGGCATTTTGGTAATTGAGAAGTTGTTTAAACATTTTAACACATTTGACACCCATGACATTGAAAATTAGTCAAGGTCATTCATTTTAACAAATTTGGAAGCCTTTCATCTCATCACGCTACAAACCAAATATCAGTAGCCTTGGCCTTTTGATTATTGAGGAGAAGTTGTTTAAAGATTCTAACATATTTGACCCCTCTTACTTTCAAAGTCAGCTAAGGTCATTCATATTAAGTACTAGGTAGCCCGTCATCCTATGATGCTACAGGCCAAAAATCTGCACCCTGGGCCTTTTTTAATTGAGAAGAAGTCATTTGAATGGAAAATGTATGCACAGTGGACCGCTCACAATTATGGAAGAAACACTGGTTATAGGTCATATAGCGTAAAAAGAACTAAAAACATCTACTTCATTATTCGATTTTAGAGTTGACTTTTGTTACTCCATAACAAAACATAAAAGAAGACAAAACAACATTCAGATATCTACAACAAATTTATCTATTTAAGTACAGATAAATACAACAATGTATAATTATATTGTTCCAAGACCATTTAACATAGGTGAAATTTCACCTAAATTTATTATTATCATTAATCAAATTTCATTTTCTTGTTTTGTGGTGCACCATCAAAATCTACTCTCCTCTTGTTGAATCCCCCCCGAAAGCCTCTACTGCTTCCCCTCCCTCTTGGGCTTCCTCGACCTTGATCGTGTCCTCTGCCCCCAAATCCTCGACCCCCAAAACCTCTTCCACCTCCTCTACCGCCTCCTCTTCCCCCTCCTCGTCCAAAGCTACTGTATGTTGGTTCATCCATCTCTGGAAGTTCTGTGGCTTTAGTGAGAGAGTCGCGATCAGTATCTACCCATGTTTTAGCAATGTACTCGTCACATTCTGTGGGGATGTCAAATGCAACAGCCTGCAAATTGAAAACCAAAATGAAATGAAATTTGCATCATCTTTAATTTTTTATGTATATTTGACATTCCGTACTTGTTATGAAACTTGACACAAAGTGAAGGTTTTTTTCATAAACTATGGGGACTAGACGACTCTAGATCACATGATTTTCTCAGAAATCTAAGGTTAAGTATTTTATATATCTAAATACAGTCCTAAATGGTAGATGAAAACATCTGAATCTTGTCCAATATAAGGTTTACAAAGCAGGAAATGCCAACTAACCATATGATCTTTGCAGAACCTCATGCCCTTGATTTTTTCTTTTGTTTCCTCCTCCAGTTGACGTTCCAGTGCTCTCCATGCATAAGTCATGCCACGCATTTCTATGTTGGTCTTGTATATGTAAGTTGTGTAACCCTGAAATGGACGAAACTAGTTAATAAAGATTCATGAACGAAAACAAATCTTAACACTATAATGGCTTCGTTTTTCAGGGTGGGTGTGTTGTCAATTTTTTCCTCGCAACATATGTTGACATTTGATAAGGATAAGATTTGTGCTGTCAATTCTTCTTTAAGTCTCGTTTTTAACATCACACATGTGAGTGTCATTACTTGCTTGTCACACAAGTTCTATAGGTCAACTTGCATATTGTAATATAAAGTCTCTTTAATGAAGGCAATTAAATACATACTGTATTATGCAATATACACATTCCTAGTAAAGAAATCCATCCACATACATTTCTACTTAGAGAACCTTTCTGCAATAAGCCAAGCCATCATGACTTCCAGTAAAATTTGTATGTTGGCCCTGGGTTACTGAATAAATACGCTATATGAATATATTCAACATGGACTTAAAGTCTTTCTAGACACATTAAAAAGAAATCCACATTTTTTCAATGCTATTTCCTGTACTACATAGGATTGTTAAATCTTACAACCTCCCTGTAGGAAATCATTTCTTGCTTATGTTGAGGATATCACTGACCAAGTATAGCTATAACAAGGACTGTGGCTAGAATTGTCCGTAGGACAGGTTATTTGCAGAAATTATCATATAAATCTTTGACCCTTTAAACTTCATGGATGACGTTAATATAATAGAGTATTCAGAGGTTTTCAACATTGGTTTGGTAAAAAAATCAAAACATAGGCAAAACGCATTTCTTCAAACAACTCTTTAAAGCACCACATGTTATTGGCAAATTTCATTTACAATTATGCCCCTTTTCTGACTTCAACTGTGTTAAGAAATTATTTTATTTTGTATCATTCTCCTAAAGAGGTCACCTGGCAGTCTACATTCCTCAGAGTTTTTCTCTTATACCAAATTTTAAAAGTTTATACCATAGATTAAGTCTATGAACTTTTATTGAATGGTTTTTCAGCAGAATAATTGTTAATTTTTATTGAGTCCGTGATCTAAATACAACTGAATGTCAAAAAAAAAAAATTAATAATAAAAGCATCTTTTAAGACCTGGACTGAAATAGAACTGGGCATCAGACATAATACAATTTTGACCGTTCCAACAGTTTAAAACAAAAGTAGACAATTATCCAGACAACTAACAATACATATGTCTCTAAAGCTACTAAGGTCAAATAAATTACCCTTCTTATGTTAAAGTGTAATTACAACAACAGACCAATCGAAGGGAAAATGCCCAGATTTTAAAATGTAGTCAACAAGAGTACATTATACTTGTAATTACATATCTCCATCAACTATGAAACACTGAATCACTCATTCAGAATACTATCAACACTGTGCCACTTTCCTATCTTAAAATTTTTAACGGCATTCAATCAAGTGTAATTTATTCATATAATATATATAACATGAATGGTGTATCGTCTTTAAAAATATCATTTTCAAACGGAGTCTGGCCATTTTGAGCCTGCAAAGAGCTGTTGCTCAAAGTTTTTAAAGAATGCTTATAATATATTTAAATATCAATTTTTTTAGAAGAAATAAATTTACTTAAAAATTGTTTTGGATCTTTCAGTCACATATTCTAACATACCACCTTCCAATCTAGAGTACTGTCTTTTTTTCCAAAGACTGAATTTGTACTTCCTTTCTTGTTCAACAATAAGGTGTAATTGTGTGCAAGGTATTTTTATACCTACTGAATAAAAGCATTTTAATTCCTTATCTAATCATGGCTTATCCATACTAAGTTTTAATATTTTAACCTAGGGTTTAAAATATTTATTGTCCTTATTTGTAGAAGTGAGTGTACAAGAAAAGCTCACATACATTTCAATACATCACTGAATAAGCACACAAAATTATCAACATTATCCAAGTAACAGACTTGGGCTATCATCTTGACCAATGGGATTAATAACCATAGTGAGAGATTAGTTATCTTAGGATTCAATATTGTACTATCAAACAGATGAGTCAGTGGTAAGTTTGTAACATACTTTACCCTTCTTGGACTGAATGTATCTTTGACCCCTTTTTTCCTAGGCACATCCATGTTTGTAAGAACGTGATTAAGGTGATTCGAGTCCCTAGGTACAAGGGCTACATTAGAGTAACTTAAGTGAGTTTTGCCCTAGCTGTCTTAACTTGTTAATTAAGGGGGTCTACCCTCACCCTTCAGGATATAAATTACCGTTAAAAGTACCCCCCCCCCCCCCTATGAAATTAATGATTTTGTTACTTTCTACACAAATATGTCTCATACAAACACAGTACAGACAACCTCACAATCCCCTAAACATGACTAGCATCACACAAGCACAGTACAGACAACCTCACAATCCCCTAAACATGACAAGCATCACACAAGCACAGTATAGACAACCTCACAATCCCCTAAACATGACAAGTCCCACACAAGCACAGTACAGACAACCTCACAATCCCCTAAACATGACAAGTCTCACACAAGCACAGTACAGACAACCTCATAATCCCCTAAACATGACAAGCATCACACAAGCACAGTACAGACAACCTCACAATCCCCTAAACATGACAAGTCTCACACAAGCACAGTACAGACAACCTCACAATCCCCTAAACATGACAAGTCTCACACAAGCACAGTACAGACAACCTCACAATCCCCTAAACATGACAAGTCTCACACAAGCACAGTACAGACAACCTCACAATCCCCTAAACATGACAAGTCTCACACAAGCACAGTACAGACAACCTCACAATCCCCTAAACATGACAAGTCCCACACAAGCACAGTACAGACAACCTCACAATACCCTAAACATGACAAGTCTCACAGAAACACAGTACAGACAATCCCGCATATCCCAGTCAATAGTATGTTATTCAAAGCTTTTAACTGTCAACTTATTAATGTTATTTATTGAACAATACAGCATTGCGTCCTGTACATTGCACACCAATCTTTTTATCTATAGCATGTGATCAGATTCCTTTCCCATTGTTGTATACAGTTCTGTCACTTAAAGTTGGATGCATACATTAAGACAGGCCAGTGAACATGTATACCACTACTGATAGAATTTCCTGAGCACGCCTTGCAAACTCCGTTTATTATTTGCTATTACAGCCTGATGTTTTCAGAAAATTACTTGGTCATAATCTGGTCTAATAATAGAAACGCATGATGGACCCCGATAATGTATACACAGATAACCCAGACATGCACTACGTCCAAATGCAAAGTAAATAAGATATTTAACATTTTTCAGGGGGACAAAAAGGGGAATGTTCCCATAAAATATCTATCAAATGACAATCACACAACAATGAACAAACAAAGCAAATTCTGTAAAAGATTATTGCTGCTTTAATCTCCTAATATATGAACAAACATATGGCAGTGTGCACACAATGACCAGTCTTACACAATCAATTTTTCTGCGACAGAAACTGTAGGATAAAGACCTGTAATTGCTGAGGCAGATCAATGTTATTACCTGTAGTGATATAACAATGAAAATTGTATTGTATGTTAAATGTTCGATCTCAATTGATACTGCAATTTTTCAATACCCATCATATACACTTTAATATTTTCTTGTGTTTTAGCTAAAAAGTATTTTATGCAGAATGAAGTCCTTTAACCAAGTCCCCAGTTACATTTGTAGATGCCTTGGAATGTAAGGAAAATACAGAATTAAATTATCTTTATACTATACCACCTCACAAAACACTTTTCCTTAACTTAAGAACATTATAGAGACTTGTACATCTTAAATGACTATACAAATTATATGGAACACAAAATTAGATAAAGGCTATGTCAACGTTTGTGTAATGTGTTAATATTTTAATTCATGTATGAATATGTTCAAGTACATTTGTGACCTGAAGGAATCTTGTGGATAAAATACCGTTTTATTTCTTTTATGGATAAAGATCAAATTGACCATTTACACAACATTCAGAATAACACAAACATCTAATATAGAGTGTTATTGCAGTCTATGATGTGACCAAATGGTAATTTCTAATCTATATTTAGCACAAGATTGGAAATTCCAAGGTCAGCTATAGACTACCAGGACTACTCTGGTCAAGTCATCACAAAGACGAAGTTTATGGTATGTCTATACCTGTGGTTACCAACAATAGCATGACTAATCCCAGCCATTTGACATTCCCGAAATTATTCATGACATGTACAGCTAATCTGAATGAGGTCACTTCGCTTATGGCCATTGCATTGATAACTTTTAAAAGTACAAAAGGCAAATAAATAGATAAAGCATAATTCTTATCATATCTCATATGTGTGTAGACACACATATTTGTGACAAGCTGCATGATAAAACACTACGATCAGGTCCTTTTACATTTGCATATGTAGTTGATAAACCGATGAATACTATCTTTGGTAATCTATACCATATAAGTGAAGTATACATGTACATACTTCCTCAATTCAAGAGCCACTTAAATGTAGCTAGTTTAAAACCCTCTTTGTATACAGTACAATGCCAGTAACACTTCATACTTATTTATAGGGCAATATAAAGAGCTTACTAAAAATAATATATACTTTTTTCATTTTGCATTTATATAGTGTATGTATCATTTAATCTTGAATTGAAAAAAGGAACTTTAGTTTTATCCTAAGACAAGATTTTATGTTATTATTTTAAAGCAATGACTGATCTGGTGTCCACCTTTCAAACTATACGTCCACATACCAATTATACATCTGACCTAGATATATGACAACTTTCTGAAAACTGAGCTATTAATGATACAAAGTCCAGTGTTGCTCATGCCTATGATATACACACAGCTGCATGATTTGGCAAAATTTACAGCAGTCTGTGCATGTTTGCTTTAAATTGGGAAGATACTCTTGATATATCTTCTTTACTTTGAGAAAGAAGGATTTCCGTTTTTTTGGCTAAAGTAACAGCCTGTTTTTGGCTGTAAAATGCTATATGACACAAG